AATCAGTTTAGCCTTAATTCAGCTACTGAGCATATAAATATTTTTTTGCTGTTCTTCTGTTTTTTGGCGCGGTGCCAACTGGTAAGAACAACTTTATTTTTTATAGTTTTGTTGTTTTCTTTTTTTTTGCTGAAAGAGAAAACTTTTTTTGTCGCTGAAAGAGAAATTTTTTATTATAATTCAGAAATTAAAACTTTACTTTATGAAATGTATAATAAAAATTTCTGTATAATAAAAATTAAATTTTTTATTATACAGATATTCTAAATGGTAATTCAAAGGTCTCTTCTAAAAGGATGCTGATATACGCGGTTTAGCGCCATTGCGGCGCTTGCGCCGGAGCGGCGCTTACTGTAACTTTTTTTTTTAAAAATTTCATTTTTATCGAGGTGCGGCGCTTGCGACGAAGCGGCGCTTTTGCCGAAAAATACGTATATATATATATATAAAATTCAATGAGTGAAAGTAAAGTTAGTTATATGTTTTCAGTCTTTTGGTGGATTTTATTTATTTTTTCTCTTATAAAAAGAAAAGTGAGTTAAGACAAGCAAAAAATTTAAGATAACAATAATTTGTCATTTTTCTTTTTATTTCACAACATGTGTTACTGTCTGTATGTATATCTATCCATCTATCTATCTGTGTGTATATACAGTGGTGGCCAAAAGTGTGGACACTTTTTGAAAGTTTCATGTTTTTCAACTTTGTGTGCTTGTAGGAACTACTATACAGCTTGGGGTAGGGTTGTTAATCCTGCTGAGAGGGTTAAAATGTTTTTTTGTTATTTAACNAAATTCTTGCCCTTTTTGATTAGTTATCAACAATCAATTGTATATTTTTTTAAAAAAAAAAACTGAACAACTTGTGCAGGAGGGAAGGAGACATGCGGCTGAAATTAGCTTGCTGCGACTTATGTCATTACACAAGTAATTATAAATATAAAATCAGTATGAAAACGCGCATTGAACTAGCATTTATAAATATCTTCATGCGTAGAAGAAAAAAAAACTTCGTTAATGGATTGAAAAAGACTGAGAAACTTCTGAGTCACCCCCGCCCCCAACATAAATTCAGTTCGTTATTAGAAAAAGAGAAATGCATTAAAAAGTAAAAATGATCATTGAATAAAAATAAAATATTAATAAGTAGTAAATTGCATATTTTTTTAAAAAAATAAACATTCTATTTTAGTATTTTTTAACAATGACTATTATTTCTTAACAATTAATATTATTTCTTAATATTATTTCTTAATATTATATCTTTGCATAATAATGGTTAAAAATGATGAACGGCTGCATTGAATGTAAAAAGAAAACCAGGATTTGCGCAATTAAACGAAGGCATGTTTACATAAGTCAGAGAGATTCTCCATCACTTCAGGATTCATCATGTCAGCGACAGGATGAGTCATGATAAAAGAAACACAGAGGAAAATAATAATCATTGCCACAACTATCACTGTTCACTTGCAATCGAAAATTGCTCTTTATGCAAACTTGCAGTCGTAGATGCCATGATTGGGAAAAGTGATCTTCGCCGAACTTGTTACCATCAATGTACTATTGTAAGCAGTCAATAAAAGTTTTTCCTCTACTGTTTTTCAAGTTTTTACTGTTTTTTAAGCCTCTACTGGTTTCTTGCATACAACAATGACCCCCCCCCCTTCAAGAGCATTGTACTCATTGATTAGAGGAAATCATGCATAGGTGATTCCAGAAATTACTTATGGCTGATCAGAAGGAAGTCTTTTCTGTCATTGAAAGAGAGAGAGAGCTGCTTATGAAATAGACACTCCAGTGGCTTGCTTTATGGAATCTGCCTTTACGGTAAGGTCAAAGTTATGCCAATAAAGACATATTTTCAACTTATCTGATTTGTTGTTTTTAGTTTAAGTTTAATTTTTAAAATTTATACCTGTGATATTAATATTTCTTGTATTTTTTATGAACTGTAACTGTTAAAAATAATTAATGTTTGAAAAGTTAATGTATTAATGAAAATATTTGAACTGAATATTGTCTCTTGATAAAATCTCATTGAATAATATAATATTTTACTGAGTGTTCACTATCCTTATATTACTTATACATAAAATAAATTTGAAAGAGCATGGAAGCATGGAGCATAAAAACATGGATCATATTTCACTTAATGCTTAATATCTTTTTTAAGTGAATTTTGCTCTGATGTTAGTTACATACAATGTGTTCAGAGTTTAATACTAACACTGCCCAGAAAAAGTGAAATTTCATTAAACTTTTGTTTGTGTATAGGGAAGACCATTGTAAATTTTTTGATTTATTGAAAAATTTTACTGTTATTTATTTCACAAGTGTTCATTAAAAGAAGATAACTGTATCCCCACAACCTGTTGATAACATTTGTCAACTTTTATCACTTAAAAATTTAATTTGGTATTAAACATTCTGAAGTTTTTTTTTCTTGGCAGCTACTTCATGAAAGGGATATTGCTTTAAACCAGAATGTAGATCAACTTAAGGAGCTCATTTATAGAAGCAATGTATGTGATTTTTTTAAAAAAATATATTGGAACAATGTGTTTGTCTTTTAAAACCAAAATTTTTAATTTTGTTCCTTCTTTGAATTATTTGAATATTATATTCTTACAAACTTTATGACTTCTATAGCTATATATTACCTCGGAAACGAATTTCTTCTCTGAACCTTTCTTTTTATTATTTTCCCTTTTTTTGGTGGGCATAATTTCATAAATGCCAACTCTACTGTTTTTAACTGCCTTCCAATTTTTATTATCTCGAAAATTTTTCCCTCTTTTATTATTTATTTATATTTTTGTGAAAAAGTTTAAAAAAATCCTCTTAATTTCATCATTAATCTGTTTGCGCTCAAAAGAGAGCGCCAGTAAAACTGTCACAAGTTTCATATCAGATAACGCCTGACAGTATCTTTGCAGTTGCTCTCATTGGATGAAATACATTCATGCTTAGTTACATTTCTGCTGACACTGACTTAGTGAGAATATGCTCTTTGAAATAATTTCAAATTGAATGAAAGGAAGCAAAAGTTTGGACTTTTGTCTATATCTGTTTATATGCTTTTTATTATTATTAAGTAATAAAGATTGATTCATATAGAATAATTATTTTATTAATTTTGCAGGCTTTTAAAAAATACAAAAAAAAACCTTTTAAAATAAAAATTCTAAATTCTTTTCAAAATTTTTACTATCTTATTTGTCTATAAATTAATAATTAAATTATAGCTTCATTTTATTGATTTGAGTTTACAATGCTTGACATTCATTTCTATGATGTAAATTTTTTGGACAATTAAGGTTACATTTTTGAGTCACTTTTTTTCCCTTATTGCTGCTTGCTTTAAATAAAGCTATTTCAAGTTTTTATCTTTTTTATAGTTTTCAAATAATATAAGAATGTAATTTATGTGGAAAATTTTTTTATTGAAATTTAATACATTATATACATATACTAAATCTTTTACTTCATATTGCTATCTTAAAATGCGATTAATATGTCTAAGGTTTTAAGAATGTAAGGTTGGTGGCATGTACACATTTTAATTTTAGTGTCTCTAATTTTTAAGCTTAAGATAATTTGTCTAATGTTCAGATAATTTGTCTAATGTTAAGATAATTTATTTACATTTTGTTTAAAAATATTTTTTGCAGTTAATGATACAAAGTTCATTTAGTTCCTCCAAAACATATACTACTTAGGAAAATTATAATTAGTTTAGTTAACTTGTTAAAATTATCTCTTTAAAAATAAAACTATTTGCATTAAATTTTGTATAAGTTTCATATAATTGCATTTTAGGGTAATGTACCAGAGAGAAAACATCTTATTTCAACAAGTTCAGCTGAGTCTTATGAAGAATTACCTGAAAGTATGTTGTTTTTGCCTATCATATAATGTTAAATATTTGTTACTGTTAATAAAAATATGTTTATGCATATAAAAGAATTAAAATATTAATGTTTCTTTCCATTTTTTCTTAGTTTCTTATAAGATGCAAGTTAATTAATTATCTAATATGTTTAATTGTAGACATAATTAATTGATGATTGACATTCAAAGATGGTTATTTGAAGAATTTCTAGAGAAATTGTTTCAGTTGCAGCTGCGATTCAATTTTTTAGAATCCTTTAATTCAATATCGTTTTTACATGCACGCATTTTGTTGATGTATCACCAGAAAGTCTAGCTGTGACAGGTTTTTGTGGAGCCAAAAATCCAGCCATTTCATCTATTTCATGAATTGGGTAACCTCTCATTTAAGGTTTCATTTCAGATAGGAAAAATTATGAGAATATTTTGGCCTGTATTAAAATCATGCTATTCCCAGTTACAGCTTTAAAATTGTGATCTTGTGTACTTAAATTTTCAGTAGATTAAAGTAAAGTTTTCCAAACTTGCTAAATGTTTTCAGTTGACCAGGTACTATATGTCAATAATTAAAACATGTATATGTTAATTATGAAAATTTCTATGTGTTAAAAATTAGTATGAAACAGGTTTTTTTAAAAAATTTCCAGGAAGTATTTGTTGTAAAAAAAGGTGTTAGTATTGAATGTGTCGTGTTTTTATTTGTTAGTAGTCTAAATGAATTAGCAAATAAAAAGCATCACCAGACATAAACCTATTGTAATCCCATTGAGAAAAATCAAAACAATCTCGTCATTTTCTGAGTTTGAAATAAATGTTATTGTGCCAAATATTTAAATTACTGAAAATTCCTTTAGGGATTCAAAATGTCTGAATAGCATGGCATATGTGATTCAAGTATGAATTCTATTTCAGACTGTGAAAGAAAAGGGGTGACATTTTTCTAACGATATTTATTTATCTATGTTTTACTGCATTATTATACTATAAAGTTGAAATAATTTCTCTTTTATCTTCAAAGTGTGAAGAATCTTAATAAGTTTTTAAAATATATTTTCCCTTTTTTTTTTCTTGTCATTCTTATTTATTTTGTTAGGCAAACCAAAGTCATTTATTGTTATGTTTATTCTACATATAGATAGTTTGAATTTAAAGTAATCTAAAGTATTGTAACTGTTTCATTCTTTGTTTCATTTAACTTTAGCTGAAGATGGGCAACACATTTGTATTCACAACATAAATGTAAAGATGTTGTTAAAAGAATATTGCTCCTTGGAATTTGCTCCAGAGACAACTAAACTTGTTGAAATTGAAAGAGTCACCATGACTGAAGTAAGTAATCCGCTTGTTTTAAACTTCCTTGTTCTAAGGCTTTTTCGCTGAAAAAATTTTTACAACCATATTTCATGCATTCATAAGGGTTCTTCGGAAGAGGTTGAGATATCTTTAACATTTGCTGTTAACCTGCAAATTCGATATTGCAGAATTCGATTTTTCTTCTGTCGTCTCAAAAGAGACTATGTCTCAGTTTAAAGGTAAACTCTATGTTGTTTTCATATTTGAGAATAACAGTCGTGAAATACTTTTTGTTAATTTTATTTGCTGCAAAAGGGATACTTTAAGAATTATTTTTAATTATATTATATAATATTAAATTATTATTAGTTAGATAGCTGAAAAAATGTGCGTCATATTTTGTTTTGTTTGCCATGATTTTAAACTTTTATGAAAGAAATATGTGTGGCACTTGAATAAATATTGTGGAGTACTTAAGGAAGTATTGTTAATTCTTTCATAAATATTGTGTAGCAATTTGAAATTTCAATTATTATTTTTATTGCAAAGAATTATTTGAAAAACAATTTTATTGCTCCAAATCCGATATTGATTTGCTAGAAAGTAGACAGGATAATTTAATTTCTTTCATATCAGAATTTATTTAACTGATGAAAAAACTTATGCTAAGTTTTACTTCCTCTCCTAGACAACAATTAAGTAGTTTGCTTTGCATAAAAGCTACCTCCTTGTTGGTACAAGTTCTTCAGTTTAATTATTCTTTATTTAGGCATCAAAGGCCGAATGTTAAGACCTGATATAATCTCTGGCTCTAAATAATCCTATGTATCTCAGGCTCTAGTGGTTTTGGAATATAATTCAGGTCAGGACCTCCATAAGTGAGCCCGAACTCATCTGTAATGGGAGACCTTGTTCCATTTCCCCTCCTTCAAACAATGCTCTTTTTAGCACTGTTTTTTTTTCTGCTGTGATATTTGAAACTAAGAATTTTTCCACCATTCAGCATAATGTTGTGGATCACCTCTGTGGGGGATGATTTGAAAACTCTCTTGAAATAGTCATTTTTCTATAATTACGACATTTAAAAATTTAGCAGGCTGCAAAGGAAGTTTGCTGCTCCCCAAGAGGTGAGAACTATCAAGCCCTCCAAAAAAGCATTGATTCTTTGAGAGAAAGTCTAACATGCTAATGAGAAGAGGCAGTCAGGGACTTGGGAACCCAACATCATACCAAATTCGGTAAGGGAGAAAAAATTTCAGGACTGAAGGCGGTGTCAGAATGTTTTGGGGAATGACAACAAACTGGATTGAGCCAATTGAATGTGTCACCCAAGATATGAAGTTGATTCAAANAAAAAAAAAAAAAAAAAAGCAAAAATGAGACGAGGAGAAAGTTAACCTTGAAAAAGTAAAAGTGACCTTGACTCACTAAAAGAGGAATGATGACAAAAACATTCCAATGCAAGAAAAGTTTGATTAAATTTATTTTTAAAGGTGGATGGAGTATTTAAAAATTAAATATACTAAAAAAGAAAGAAAAAACAAATTGCTCAAGAAAAGAGAGATTGAATTAATAAAATAAAAATCGTCACACAACACTGTGACATTATAGTTCATGAATAAACTTCCACAGTCTAGATTTAGAGAATTCTGATTCGTATATAAATAGACTGTACTTTTGTGTCAACTGTAAATTAACCTAAGCTCTTTGAAGTTATTTCTAACTAGAATAGTCTAGTGGGGTTAAATTTTGTGGAACATGTAAAAATCAGATTTGTACTTCCAAACTTTTTCAAAAAAAATACATTTGCTCTAAAAAGAAAAAATTACCTCTCAAAAACTAATAATATGCCCCATAAATTGACAGGGTTATATTAATTCTCATGGTCTTTTAGGTGATAAAGCTGTAACCAAATTATTTAAAATGGCTGGGGACTTTCGCCCTTCAGTCCGTCATTCACAAAAATTCTCATCATTTTTAATAATGTATTTATTCGTTCTTATAAAGCCTTTTATTTTGTCTTCCTTGCCATGGAAGTAAATTTTGAAATGCTCTCTAAACAAAACAATAATTGATTTATATATGCAATAATTTAATTCATCATTTTCTGTAATGATTATGTCGATAAGGAAAACTATTTTAAAAATTCGTAAGTTACTTTCTTCCAAAAATTTTCTTTCACTTTTTTCAATGGACATATTCTTTCAGTTTTTGAAATTCTACCTAACAAAAAATCTGAATCAAAATCCAAAGGCACCAAAAGAAATTTTTTAAGGATTAAAACCAGGAAAACATTAAATATTTTAAAAATTGTCAATATTTTTTATTATAAAAGTAATTTTATGTGTGCACATTACAAATTTTTAACAGTTCTATAATTATTTAGTACTACACCAACAATGTTTGCAAAAAAATTAACATAACATTTAAATTTCGAAATAAATAAAAAGGGTAATAAATATTTTTTTATCTAGAAATAAATTTACACAAACATGTAATTGCACATGAAGCAGATGAAAAACATACTTTTTAACATCAACTTAAAAAGCTGTATTTAGTATTAATGATCAAAATTAGACTATTTTCAGAACGTAATCACAAAATTTATTTTTGTTTAAAGCAAACCTATACCATTGCCTGTATTTTGCTCATTCGAGATTGTGCATTACAAGAATCCTAAAAAGGTTTACAAAAAGGAGGCGTAATATGTAAGCCTTTTAATGGGGCATTTTAAAAGAAGAAAATACAAAAATTGAAGAGATGCTAAAGTTAAATTTCGGATATTGATGAATAAGCGATAGAAAAAGCTATATTAAGCATTTACATATCTTGTTTTTACAAAGACTATACAGGAACTTTCAGATGAAAATTTACACAAGATTCTTTTCCACTGTGATTTCAATTTTTTTTTCTTCCTTTTACTATAATGTAGATGTTTTTCAGCTAAATTTTAAACATTATTTCAATCAAAGAATTTTTTTGCTATTATCATTATTTTACTGTTATATTATTTTAAACATAATGAAAATAAAAAATTTATATACATGTCTCAAATTTCAGTCAAATAATTCAAAATTAAAGTGCACAATTCTGATAATATAAATGCTCGCAAACTTAAAATATTGTTTATTGTCAGTGCTAAAAGAAAATTGCTTCTAATATCATATCTTTAAATTTTAATGCAATTAAACGAATACAAAACATTTTGTAACAAATCTATTCATGCAATGAATGGTGACCTTTATATAAGAGAAGAAAACAGATGCCAGGAACAAATTAATAAATGAATCTTAGAGCACATTATTATTTGCACAAAAGACTTGTCATTTATTAAAGATAATAGAAAATTCATGAAAAATTAAAGAAACCAAATTTTAATTACATTCAACAGTTTCATAAGGAGGAAACTAAGTACTATGAAGTTTTTTCAACATTATATCTTATAAAGTTTCATCAATGCTCATATATCTGCCAACCCACTTTTTCTATCATTCTAAAAATTTATTGCAAAGTTGCAGAATAAATACTTGACCTTATTTTTTTCTGAATTTTTAAATTCTTATTTGAGTTAAAAATGAATAAGAATAAAAAAAATCATGATAAACATTACAACTATTTCAATAAATAACTATTTAATTTCAAAACTAAACATACTAAGAAATAAACTTCATCCAATTATAAAAGCAATATATTCTTACCATTATCCTTTTACATAAACATCTCTATAATCTTTTGGTGAAACACAATTTAAAAAAAATATTTGTTATTAAATACGATATTTGTATTTACTTTAACATATAATCATAGTTGCTTTTGCTATAATTTTTTGACTTTTGCAAAGCCACGTCTCGCCTAATTAAATTAAGAAAAATCCAAATCAAGCTCAATTTCATCTAGCAATTTATGTGCAACTTCTTACTGCATTGCAAGCAAAGGAAAGAACACTAAAGTTGAAAAAAGCATCACAGTTTTGCTTGAAAATATCGATTTACTATGATTTGAGGCATTGAATAATTTTTTTGAAAATAATTATTCAATTTAAAAAAAATATTAATGTATAGTATTTAGTATTTAAAAAATATAGTATATAATTTAGTACTGGTATTTAAAAAAATATTATAATTCAATTTTTTCAAGTTAGATAAATGATAATTGTTTACATTTTAGTCAATTTTGAAATAATAATCGCGTTAATCACTTCTGTAAATTTTAAGATAAATACACTAGTGTTCAAAAATGAGAGAGTTTTCATATTTGGTAGCCTATCTCCATTATGACAGACCAGATTTTAATACACTATAAAGTTGATATCTGACTGGAAAATCGATTCAACAAATATCCTCTCTTTTTAAAGTTTAAACTAGGTGAGCTTGATGGCTGCCTAATTTCCATTAAAATGAAATCGCCACCCGATTCCATTCTCTAAAGGTTAACATTGAATTTTAAGACTTCATCCATGTACCTCACACCAGTCAAAGAACCTCTTTCAAAGACATGGATGGGTCAATGACCATTCAACATTTTGCCTATCAGGACAATCAAACCTCTTTTGCCTTAATGTCCAATTTTTCAGATATCTGGAGACATCAAATTTCTGGTTCTTTCCATACTTCCATGAATTATTCAAACCAGGCACTCACTATCTACCTACCAACTAAATAAATCAACTGCTTTAGCAGAGGAAGTTTGATAATCTTGGCAGGCATCATACTAAGTAATTAAAAATCTTTCTATGTTCTTTGGAGAGGTAAATTAGCTAGTGTGCAGCATATGGATAAATTCTAAAAGCTCTATGATTGCCTTGATCAACAATAGACACTCACTTAAAGCTGTTTGCTCTCGCAATTTTCTAGAAGATATTCGCCAGATGATTGGCCACTCAGATCTTCAGCTTTATAGAACATAATATAACTTTATAGTAGTACATGTTTGGAATGGAGAGCAATTAAAATAGAACTCACAATCTTTACTATTGTCCAGGGCTTGAAAACTGCTTTAATGAGATAGTGGTACCAGTTTCGACAGAAACTCTTAAACTGCTTTATTTCCATAATGAAATCAGAATATCAGCCTGTGTCTCCGTAAAAGTGAATCTTGAACTTTATTAACCTATTTTTCATTTCATACCATAATCACTGCTTCATACATATAGTGCTACACATAGTACATATACATAGCTACATATAGTATATTATAACCATCGAATGTTTTTTTTTTAANCCAACTAAATAAATCAACTGCTTTAGCAGAGGAAGTTTGATAATCTTGGCAGGCATCATACTAAGTAATTAAAAATCTTTCTATGTTCTTTAGAGAGGTAAATTAGCTAATGTGCAGCATATGGATAAATTCTAAAAGCTCTATGATTGCCTTGATCAACAATAGACACTCACTTAAAGCTGTTTGCTCTCGCAATTTTCTAGAAGATATTCGCCAGATGATTGGCCACTCAGATCTTCAGCTTTATAGAACATAATCTAACTTTATAGTAGTACATGTTTGGAATAGAGAGCAAATAAAATAGAACTCACAATCTTTACTATTGTCCAGGGCTTGAAAACAGCTTTAATGAGATAGTGGTACCAGTTCAAAACCAGTTTTACCAGTGGTACCAGTTTTGAGTGGTACTCGTATATAAATTCGTATATAAATCAACTGTAAATTAACCTAAGCTCTTTGAAGTTATTTATAACTGGAGTAG